TTTTTTCTTGTAGTTGATTTCTAGTTCATAGTGTGGTCAGGAAAGATTCATGGTATGACTTTGATTTTTATAATTTGTTGAGACTTGTTTTGTGGACTTCTCTGGACAATGTTCTGTGTGCACTTGAAGAGAATGTGTATTCCGCTATTTTAGGAAGGAATGTTTCTGAATGTATCTGTTAAATCCATCTGGTCCACTGTGTCATGCAAAGCCGTTGTTTCCTTGTTTATTTTCTGTTTAGATGATCTGTCTACTGTCTACTGATGCAAGTGAGGTGTTAAAATCCCCTATTATTACTGTATTATTATCAAATTAATTCCTTTAATTTTGTTATTAGGTGTTTTATGTATTTGGGTGCTGCCATGTTGGGTGCATAAATATTTATAGTTGTTATATTCTCTTGGTAGAGTGTACTCTTTATTATTATATAGTGTTCTTTATTTTTTGTTATAGACTTTGTTTTAAAGTCTGTTTTGTCTGATACAAGTATTGCTATTCCAGCTATATTTTGACGTTTCCCATCCATTTGCATGATAAATGTTTCTCTGTCCCGTCACTTTCAATCTGCAGGTGTCTTTTGGTCTGAAATGAGTCTCTTGTAGGCAGCATATAGATGGGTCTTGTTTTTTATTCACTGTCACCTGGTTTTTTTTATTGGAGTGCTTAGTCCATTTACATTCAGAGTAATTATTGGTAGATAAATGTTTATTGCCATTTTGTTACTTGTTTTGTGGTTGTTTTTGTAGCTTTTTTCTGATCCTTCTTTCATGGTTTGTTGGCTTTCTTTAGTGATATACTTGGGTTCCTTCCTCTTTATTCTTTGCATATCTAATACTGGTTTTTAATTTTGGTTACCATTAGGTTTGTATATAACATCTTCTGCATATAGTAGTCTATATTAAGTTGATGATTGCTTAAGTTTAAGCCCATTGTTTACTCCTCTCCCCTCTCCCTGCCACGTCTTTGGTATAAGGTGTCATACTTTACATCATTTTATTTTATGAATCTTTTGACTGATTTTTACAGAAATACTTATTTTTAATGATTTTGTATTTTTTACCTTTTATACTTTTACTTATGTCTTTGCTTTTCACTCAATGAGTCCCCTTTTTATTTCTTGGAGGGCTGGTTTAGTGGTCTTGAACTCCCTTAGTTTTTGTTAGGCTGAGAAACTCTTTATCTCTCCTTCTTCCAAATGATAGCCTTGCTGGATAGAGTATTCTTTTTTTTTGTTTAAACTTTTTTTTTTAAGATTTTATTTATTTATTTGACAGAGGGAGACAGCAGGAGAGGGAACACAAGCAGCAGGAGTGGGAGAGGGAGAAGCAGGCTTCCCGCTGAGCAGGGAGCCTGATGCGGGGCTCAATCCCAGGACCCTGGGATCATGACCTGAGCCGAAGACAGACGCTTAAACAGTGAGCCACCCAGGTGCTCCTGGATAGAGTATTCTTTTTTTTTGTTTAAACTTTTTTTTTAAGATTTTATTTATTTATTTGACAGAGAGACAGCGAGAGAGGGAACACAAGCAGGGGCAGTGGGAGAGGGAGAAGCAGGCTTCCCACTGAGCAGGGAGCCCGATGCGGGGCTCGATCCCAGGACCCTGGGACCATAACCTGAGCGGAAGGCAGTCGCTTAATGACTGAGCCACCCAGGCGCCCCTAACATGCCACTTCTTGCTGGCCTGCAAAGTTTCTGCTGAAAAAAGCCCCTGGGGTTTTCTTTGTATGTAACTGTCTTCTTTTCTCTTGCAACCTTTAAAATTATCACTAGTTTTTCCATTCTAATTCTGTATCTTGGTATGAACCTCCTTGGGTTGAATTTGTTGGGGATCTCTGTGCCTCCTGAATCTGGATCTCTGTTTCCCTCCATGCATTTGGGATGTTTTCAGCTATTTTTCCTTCAGATACATTTTCTGCCCTCCTTTATCTCTCTTCTTGGATCACTATAATGCAAATGTTATTATACTTAATTGAGTCGCTGAGATCTCTAAGTCTATTCCTATTATGGAGTATTTATCTTTGATCTGTTCAGCTTGTTTGCTTTCCATTACTCTATCCTCCAGGTCACTGATACATTCCTCTGCTTTCTGTAGCCTACTGTTTAAATTCCATCTATTGTATTTTTAATTTTATGTATTGAGTTCTTCATGTCTGATAATGTTGTTTTTTTCTCTCTTTGCCAAGGGTCACACTGATAATGTCCACTCTTTTCTCAAGCTTAGTGAATATCTTTATGATCATTATTTATTTATTAATCATTACTTTAAATTCTATGTCAGGTATACTAATTTCTGTTTCACATAGATCTCCAGTTGTGATTTTTGTCAAGATTTTCATTTGGGACAAATTCCTTTGTCTTCTCTTTTTTTTTTTTTGTCTACCTCTCTGTTTCTGTGTCTTAGGGAAGTCAGCTATGTCTCCTGCTCTTGAAAGTAGTTGCCTTATGAAGAAGAGGTTCTGTAGTGCCCTGCAGTGCAGTGTCTCCTGTTCACCAGAACGTGACACTTCGGCGGAGCCTCCTATGTGTGTTTCTTGCATCCTACTATTATGCTTTCCCTATCAGTCCAGACCCCTGCACAGACTCTGCCTGTTGTGAGCTGTGCTTGCTCTCTGTGGTATTAGTGAGACCCAGGCAGGCTGGTCCTGAGGGGGCGTGACTATAGGAAGGCTCAGGGGTGGTGCAGCAGTGTTTGCAAAATTTGCAGGGTCACTAGGAGTAGGCCAGATCCCCTAAATTGCGGTGGTGGCTGGTCACGCAGCATGTGTTAGCAGCCTGGCACAAGGCACATGTCTGAGGTAGCAACAAGGGGTGCATGGGTCTGTGCGCATGGGGGCTGGGGGCCTGTGGCCAGCTGGGCAGGGCACACACGTGACATCAGCAAAATCTGCACTGAGCTGCTAGACCTGGCCACAGGCCCCAGAGTGCGGTGGCCACAGTGGCACAGATGCAGAGGCATTGACTGGGTGGAGCATGGGCAGCGTTAACAAAATCTGCCCTGAGCCCAGGGCCAGCGGACTTGGAGTGGGTGAGTCCTCAGGAGAGCTCATGGGCCTGGCGCACTGCTAGCGGGTTAGTAGCAAGTGTCTGTGCAGCACTGCCTCCGGCAGGTGGCTCAGTGTTTATGCTGAGGCATAGCGGAGGAAAATGGCCCCTGCCAGCTCCTCTGTTTCCAGAGAAGTTCCCCATTGTGCCCCGAAATCCATACAAACAGATCCCCTTCCCCTGTTGCCTCTTGCTCAGGCCGTTATCTCTTTAAGGGTGGGGACCTGGCTATCACACACCTTCCTGGCTCCCCTGCTGCTGAGTCAGCTGATAGTCAAAGCTCCAGACTCCCAGGTCTGCGGTTATACAAACTCACAGAATTTAGCCCATCTGGGTTTCAAGGCCAGATGTTATAGGGATTTTTTTTTTTTTTTACCTGTGTGGACGCCCTGGTGCTTTCCCTTCTCTGCGGCCGTAGCTCCTTCCCTCCTCTGGCAAATCGCCACCACCTTTCTGCCTTTCCTAACTTCTCCAGTGCCGGCAGTTTCTCTGCATTTAGTTGTGGATTTTGTTCTGCAAGTCTTCAGATCGCTCTCCAGTTTATTGACTTGGATGTGAGTGATACCTAGTTGTAAATGTGGGATGGAGTGAGTTTAGGGTCTTCATACTCTGTCATCTTGTACCCCCCCAACAAATGTTTTAAAAATGGCTTCATTTGGAACTTTTGGTTAGGTATTTGGTTATTATCTCATTAATGGTGTTTGTTTGCTTGGTTATGTTGTGAATAACAACACTAATTCTTTAACACAGATATTTGGAGTTCCTGACAAATACATTTTTCTTGCTATTTCTCTGTCTATTGGTACATATGTATATATACTTTTATATACACATATACATACACAAACAGTGGGGAACCTGGCTAGCATTTCAGAGGTTTAATGCTGACATAAGTAGTGGTAGTATAAGGCCATGATAACTTGTGGTTTTGAATTTTGAATGGTAAAGATCAGCTCATTTTCATTACCTCTATATAAATTTAATCAGAATACAATGCATAAATCAAGAATTTTAATGCAGAATAATTTGAGTGACCTTTTTGGTAGTCAAGATGAACTTTATCCATGACTTTGTATTGTAGAAATTCTACCAACATTTTATTTTCATTTGTACAAATAAATGTCTTTTTGGGGGAAAATTTAGTAATGAAAAGGGTTTGAAAAGGAGAATTTAACTTTGGAGGAATTTTTTCTCTACTTTGTTCCATGTAGCTACCATTTACTTCCTGTTTACTGAGCTAGGTACTTTATATAGTCTTATTTCATTCTTATAACAACCCCACAAGTTTGCATTTATTAATCTTATCTTACAAACTAGGTTAAGTGACTTGCTTAAGGTAATAGAGTAGTAATGGTAAAGGTGGGATTTAAATCTAGGTCTGTCTGGGCTCTTTCATTGCAGTGCCCTGCCTCCTGTCCGGGGATCAGGCCTGAGGAACATAAGTTAAAGAAGGGATAATGAAAGTTAAACTAAGGGGAAAAAAATGAAAGGGATATCAAGTTCAATAAAATTAAAATATTTAAACAGATTTTTATCTTAGTTACAGAAAAATTATTTTTATGGAAAAATTACTAATTTTGTTGGAAAAGGGTTTTCTAGAACAAGGGCTTATTTAGAGAAAGATTAAGGGCTCTAAATATTAAACAAGATATTTTACAGTATTAAAGCAAATTAAACTGTCAAGTAGGGGTTCACCTGGGTGGCTCAGTTGGTTAAGCATCCCACTCTTGATTTCTGCTCAGGTCATGATCTTAGGGTCCTGGGATCAAGCTCCGCTCAATGTGGAGCCTGCTTGGGATACTCTCTCTCCCTGTGCCTTTTCCCCCACCCCACGCATGTGCACGTGCACACACACACTCTCTCTCTCTCTCTAAAAAAATAAACTGTCAAGTAGATATTATATTGCAATGAAATGTACTTGGTATCAAGCCTAACTGTGTCATCCTTTTCTTTGTTAGATGTTGATGATGGAGACACGGTGACAGATTTCATGGCTCAAGAGCGAGAAAGAGGCATTACTATTCAGTCTGCTGCTGTAACCTTTGATTGGAAGGGGTATAGAGTCAATCTAATTGATACACCAGGTATGGTGCTGTTCTAGCAATGCAGAGATGCTTCATTGGAGGGTTTTTTTTGTTTGTGGACATGTTTTCTTTCAAATTGGGGTAAGAAAAATATATATGCATCATAAAATTTATCATCCTAACCATTTTTAAGTGTACAGTCAGTAGTTAAGTATATTTACATTGTTGTGAAATTCTCCAGAAGTACTTCATCTTTCAGAACTGAAACTATTTATTATACAACTACTCGTCTTTGTCCCTTCTTCCTACCCCTGGTAACTACCATTTTTTACCTTTTTTAACTACCTTAGATACTTCATATAAGTAGAATCCTACAGTATTTGTCCTTTTGTGACTGGCTTATTTTGCTTAGCATAAAGTCCTTCAGGCTTCATCTGTGTTGTAATATGTGGCAAGATTTCCTTCATTTTTAAGGTTGGGTAATATTCCATTGTACATATATAACATGTTTTGTATATATGCAAAAATTTATATACATACCATTCATCCATTGATGGCCTTTTGGGTTGTTTCCACCTCATGGCTATTGTGAAGAGTGTTGCTATGTACATGGTCTGCAAATAGGTCTTTGTGACTCTTCTTTCAGTTCTTTTGAATATATACCCAAAAGTAGGTATATGCTGGATCCTGTTTTGTTTTGTTTTTTTTAAAGATTAAGTGTTATGTTTCTCATCTTTTTCTTAGGTCATGTGGACTTTACCTTGGAGGTTGAGCGCTGCCTTAGAGTGTTGGATGGTGCAGTAGCTGTGTTTGATGCCTCTGCTGGTGTAGAGGTAAAAATACTGCCAAAGTAAACAAGCTACAACAGCATGATTTTTTTAAAGTAGAATGTATCAGATTTAGTCAACTGTAACCCTATATAAGTTCATATAATTCAAATTACAGTGAAAGGAAATTGGAATTTAATATTGCAGTGTGACCTTTATGTGATATCAGATATTTCATAGTAAAAGGAAAGTAGTTTGCATTTCTGTAGGAAATATGAAAGTTGGTGTTGAGAACTATGAAGGGCTTGAGATTCTTCTACCTTACTTTCAGGCTAACTAGTTAGTCTGCCACAGTTTTATGGCATGCTGGCAGAAGACACAAGACTCTTGAGTCATAGACAAAGAACTTTATTAGTCACAAAAATAAAAATAGCTAGAGTTTTAGTATTATCTTGTGTTATTTCTTCAAGACCCAGTTCCCACAGGATGATCTAAAGGGAGGCATGTGACAGCTGCACATGCAGGGGAACCCTGTGCTTAGAAAACACATATATTTTATAATGGGCAGTAAGCATGCCTGCTGGTTGCTCTGGAGAGACACATTATCTTCCAGGGTTATAAGCAAACCTACCTTTTGATCCAGAGGGAGACACTGTCTTTATCTCTCTAAGCTGTTTATATCAACATCTTTTTTTTTTTTAAGATTTTATTTATTTATTTGACAGAGCACGAGCAGGGTGAAGGCAGAGGGAGCAGCAGACTCCCCGCTGAGCAGGGAGCCCGATATGGGACTTGATCCCAGGACTCTGGGATCATGACCTGAGCCGAAGGCAGACACTTAACGACTGAGCCACCCAGGTGCCCTATATCAACACCTTTGAAAACATAGTCCAGAACAAAGGCAGTCACTGCCTCTCCTAAAAAAACGTAGAAAGCTGAAAGACCCATGAAGAATTATCTCCCAAGAGTTAATATATATTAAATTCTTGAATAAATCTTAAAAACAGGTTTATAATAATTTACACTGGGGTCAGTTATGCACTCTTTAGCTGGTATCCCCGTTTGTCTTAGAATATCAAGACTGGCTCAGTGTTGAATAAAGAATCATCTTCAGTTCTTCTAATCTTAAAATTTTACTAAAAGTGATGCCTAAGGTGATCAAAATTAACATACTCCAAATGGTACAAATTGACAATATGGGCTTCCTGATCTGATGCACTAAGAAGGACACAACATTACCAATGTTTTATTCCTGGCAGAATGTTTGGCCCCAGTCTGATCATGAGAAGACAGCCAGATGAATGTAAATTGAAAGACATTCTGCAAAACAACTGGCTGAGGCTTTTCAGAAATTGAAAAAAATGTAAATGTAAGGAAAATGAGTGATGTCAAGTAAATAGTTGAGGTACTATTTTAGTTTAAACGATTCTGAAGATACAAGAAAATTAAATGTAATATGATCTTTGGTAGGATTCTGGATCTAAAAACAAAAAGTTAAAAAGGACATCGTTAGGAAAACCAGACTATATGTTATAGTTCTATCGTTAGGAACACTATATGTTATTGGAAAAAAGTGTGTGTCAGCTTAAATTTTTTTGAGTGTGATCATTGAAAATGATTATGTAGGAGAATGTTCTTATATTTAGGAAATACAGGCTGAAGTATTTAGGATTGAAGTGTCATGATATGTGCATCTTACTCTAGTGCTTCACTTCCCACCCACACATACACATACGTTGTTAGAGTACTTTGACCAGTAGATGCCAAGATGGGGTAGATGTATAGGAGATTTACTGGGAGAAATGCCTGTGAAGAATAAAGAAAAGCGAGTAGTGGGAGAGAACAGTCAGACTGCAAAGCAGGTCTGAGGTCTGTCTATAAAGGAGAGGGTAAAAGAAAGAGGATTGGGTAGGAAGGGTCTCACTCAGACTACAGCATAGTTCCAAAAGGGCTGTGGTGAAGCTGATGGGGAGTCCTCAAGCCAAAGTCACCTGTTGGAGAAGTCCCACAGGTCTTAGAGGAATAAGCTACGTTAGTATTTCTGCCGTACTCAGCTATTAGCTGGGCCTTGAGAGACCATGGTGGTAGACAAGATGAGCAGCAGTTGGGGCTATGAGTTAATTAAGTTCTTTGTAGTAGATCCCAGTGGCACGTTCCTATAGCCACACATATAATGTGTGCATATGCGCATGTTTGAAGGAAAAAAGGCAAGTGTGGCAAAGTGTTCATATTTGGCGAATCTAGGTGAAGGGTACATATATATTTATTGTACTATTCTTTCACCTTTTTTATAGATTTGAGATTTTTCTGAATGAGAAGTTATATATACATATATTTTGTCATGTTAGATTAAATATTGTATGAATGTTGTTTCCAGAGTGCATTAACACTATTGATTATGTAGGAAAATATCAATTGTTTTAGGAAATATGTGCTGAAAATTTCACAGTACATGTGTATGATCAAAGAATTGTATCCAGAATATCTAAAGAACTACAAATCTTTGTAGTTCTTTTTATCACAAATCAGTGATAAAAACTAACAACCCAATAAAAAAATAGACAAAGGATTTGAGTGGATACTTCACCAAGAAAGATATATGAATGGCCCAATGAGCACATGAAAAGATGATCAGTCTCCTTGGTTATCAGGGAAATGAAAATTAAAATTACAAAGAGAGACTATTTCATACCCACAAAAATGGCTTAAATTAAGAAGAATGATGGCAAATATTGTTTGAGGATGTGCAACAACTGGAACTCTTTATCCAATGGAATGAGAACATTTGTCCCCTAAAGACTTACTCAAAATGTTGATAGCAGCTAAATTCATAATAGCCCTAAACTAGAAATAACGTAAGTGCTCATCCACAGGTGGATAGAAAAACCAGCTGGCACATTTATACAAAGGAGTTTAGCCAGAAAAAAAAAAAAAGAAAGGAAAGAAAGAAAGAAAGAAAAAATGAACAAACCACTATACCCAACAACATGAATGAATGTCAGAGACTTAATATTGAGTGAAGGAAGCCACGCTATTTATATGAGATTCAGAAATAGGCAGAATGAATCTGTGGTGACAAATATGAGAACAGGTTGTTTATGAGGGATGGGGAATATATGCAAGTGTACTTATCAGAACTCACTGTACACTTAAGATGAGTGTTTTTTATTCTATGTAAATTTTACTCAATAAAATAATAAAGTGGCTTCTATTTTAGATAATGTCATTACATTAAGCTTTTTACGCTCTGCTTCAGGGCTTTGGGACTCCACTAGGCACAGATACTATAACAGACTGGAACTTTTGAAATATTTATAAAAAGTAGAATTAATTCAAATAGAAAAGCATATGAGAATTGTTACTTAGAAATACAGTTACTGGGTGGAGCAAGATGGCGGAGGAGTAGGAGACCTGGATTTCGTCTGGTCTCAGGAATTCAGCTGAATAGGGATCAAACCATTCTGAACACCTACGAACTCAACAGGAGATCGAAGATAAGAATAGTAACAACACTCTGAACAGAAAAGCGACCACTTTCTGGAAGCAGGGACCCAACAAGCGGCAGATCCTGGAAGACTCCCCTCCCTCCCCTGGGAGGAGCGGCGCGGGAGCGCACCGCAGGGATCTGCTGGGTTTGGAGACTCCACACCGGGTCAGGTGCCAGAGAGAGAAACGCTCGGTCACAGGCCGGGTGAGTACGCAGTGCGGCTGGAGACCAGGGAGACGGGAGTGACTGCTTTTCTCTGGGGGCGCACTGAGGAGCGGGGCCCCGAGTTCTCGGCTCCTCCGGGTGGAGAGTGGGAGGCCACCATTTTCACCCTGGTCCTCCAAAGCCGTACCGAGAGCTTGCAGGGAACAAAAGCTCCTGAGCGGAGCCGTTTGCTTAGCCCAGACTCACAAGGGCGGGGCAATTCCGCCTCCGGCAAAGACATTTGGGAACCACGGCAACAGGCCCCTCCCCCAGAAGATCAGCACGAACAGCCTGCAAGCCAAGACCAAGTTGACCGATCAAGGAGAACGGGAGAACTCCAGCGCTGGCTAGGGGAATACTGCACATAGAATTCATGGCTTTTTTACCATAATTCATTAGTTTTTCAAAGTTAATTTTTTAACTGTTTTTTTTTGAAATTTTCTTTTTCCCTTTTTCAAACATCTTATCAATCCCTTTTTTAAAAAAAACATTTTTTATTTTTCATTTTTAGTCATATTTTTATCCCTTCATAGTAGTTACCCTTAT